AACAATTAATTCGTTAAAAATCAAAGCAAAATTTATTCCACAAAACTTCTGATTTTGGAAAGCAACTCATATATTATTTCTAAGTGTGAATTCTTTGTGATCCAGTGGCTGAGCATCGTGCCAGAAATTTTCAGGAGGTGCAAGCAGTGGTACAGGGGAATAAAGGTTTGTTTTGGGCTCACTCCAGTGATGAAAAGAATCACGGGTGCTCACACCTTTGCTTGGGTCCAGGTTGTTCTTTACCCTCCCCGTCCAGCTTCTTCATGTGATTCTTTTATAATGGAAACCATAGGGGTGAAACCCCCCAGGACACCCAGCAAGGTTCAGAGGTTTTCAACCCCATCCCTGTCTGTAGTTGTTTGACCTTGGGAAGTCAGTTGCATCTTGTATGTTGCACATTGATTATTGAGATTCAGGTTCTATTCTCATTTATTTAGTATTTACTACCTGCTAGGTGCTTTCATACATTTAACTCTCTGAGGAAGGCAATATCACTCCCTTTCATGCAAATCAAGACTCTGATAGGTCCAGCGTCGTGGTTAACGAGACATAGTGAGGGGGCAGCCCTGACCTGAACACTGGTCTTGTCACTCTGGGCCTGGTTTGCAGTCAACTCTGCCTTTTCTAATATAGCTCCTGTCCTGCTTATATTACAGGGGCTGTGGGAGAATCTAATGAGATCATGTAAAGGAAAGTTCTTTGTGAGTGGTAAAGAGTTGTCAGGTACAGGCTAACACCATCATTTCTCACCTTTATTTTCCCACCTCCCACTACCTGGTTAACAAGAGTACAAGCTTCTCATTCTCAACCAGGGAAAACCAGCCCTCCCAGACAATCATTTTAGGAAAACCACTAATGATCAATGTAGGTAGACACTCTCATTTTTCATTTTTTGGTCAGAATCTGGGCCTTAGACACCAGTCTTTTAAAAAGATATAAATTCTATCTCTTTTGATAAGTGCTTTGAGACTTGCTCAAGTAGAATGGTACCTGAGTCTCACACACAATTGTGATAAGAGTGCCCAATGCAAACTTCTCCACCTTGAAAATGAGAAAACTGGGTCAATTATGGAATTCACAAAGAGGAAATACTACTATCCTAATTGTAGTGAAAAGAATAATAAAAGAAAAGCTAAACCCTCATACTGAAGTGAGGATCTCAGGCTATCAGTTGGAAAATTCAGGCTCCAGAGAGAACCTAGTCAGTGAGTGTTATTGACTGAAATCACAAACTCCTTTGCTTATGCTGATCGGTTTCAACAAATGCATTTCCAATGCTCTTTTTTAGCTGGACTGTAAAGATTGCACCAAGATGGTCATTTTAAGAGATGGTCCTTTTGTTGCTGTCTATATGGGTAATTCTTCTGTATAAAATTCTTTCCATTTACAGTGATCAATAACATTTCCATTTGACCCTCCCTCTGTAACTATCTTGCTCTGGGCCAGGCTTGAATTGAATAGATACTTTAGGACAAAGAAGTATCTCCTATTCACCCAGTGGAATAAACATTGGCTCAACATAACTCTTTTTTTCAACCAGAGATTATGTTATCATAAAAATGAATCATGTACTGAACAGTCAGAAGCAATATATTATACAAAATGGCTATTAAAAATGTAATGCTTGGCATTTAGTGATACAATTTCCATACATACATGAGTATATGAATACATGATACTATATTTTGCTCAGGAAGATAAATATGGTATATGCAATACTCTAGATCTATACATACTGATCGTACAGGAATGTAGAAAATGAGTAGCCAGAAGAAAATCAAAACTGAGTATATGAACTTTCATTTTAATATTTTTTGCTTTAAGCTTCTATAACTGATTTCTCAGTATTTCGTTGTTTATAGTTTCTACAAACCTAAGCAGAAGATCTGACTTACTTTAAATTGAAAAAATGCTCACACAATACAACAATTTTAAATATATACTTTCAGTAGGTGCCGACAACATCTATTCATGTCATCTGAGTGTATTTCTTGGGGCAAGAGATCTACAAGGCAAGGACTACGTAGACCATAATTTAATCATTACAAATAAGGAAAGCCAGCAATGACAGTGAAATATATGTATTTCTCCAAGAGGACAGCACACTCAGATGAAGATGTTCAAAACAGTAAAATTAGACAAATTTAATCGAAGATCATGTATAATGGGTAGAGTTTTGGGTAAATATTTAGGCCTTTGTCGAAATAAATTTTTACAAAAGAATAGCCAAGAGTAAGATTTAAAAAATCCATTCTTCTCTTGTATTTCACTGCCAACAGAATATTTCTACAGTTTGTACAACCAAGAAGAATCCACTATTTTAACCTTATACATTTTACAGCATCAGTGGAATTTTGAGTTCTACTAAGGCCATTCTTAATTAGAAACCGGTAATGGAATAGCTTATCAAATATTTTATTTTTCCCTTCAAAAATCCACATAGGATTGTTTGGTGACTTTGCTTTGAAGAAAGTGTCTTTTATTACTTATTTTAGTACAACACATTAAAATCAAATATCTCCTGTAGCAAAACGATTCAAGCCCCTGGAACTCAAATAATTTTCTAATAAAAAATGCATGAGACAAATAAATGCACTTTATGTTCCACAAGAAAAGGCAGTTTCAACAGGCTAATGCTCAGAGAAAATTCATTTTATCAACCAGCCATTTCATTCTTTGGTGCTGTTACAAGCTCCTTCCCGTTGCTAGGCAACCATAATTCATAGTACCTTTTAATGGATACTCTGCTACTGCTGAGAACATTAAGGTGAAGAGAATAAATGCCTTGGGTGAATCTTGAAATCTTTCATTATGCATGTCATTCTATTTCTGTAATGCTATAATGCTGAAATGTTTCTGTGGCAGGAAACTGAGTTGTAGTAATTGCATATTCCACTCATATATGTTTTGTAAGCAGAGCAGCACGTACTTGTCTAAAATGAGTTATTTCAAACATGATTGAAATTGGACTTTTCTACTTCTAAAGGTAGTAAATAAATCTAAAGGAAGAAAGAATAGGTTTAGAGTAAAATGTCTTGAAATTTCCAGTAAGAATGAAGAAATCTTACAGCACAAATCAAAAGTAATCAAGCTGGTTCAAGCTTGATCAGGACGGTTTATAAATAGGTGGGACAAACAAGTTGAAATGTAAAAATACAATAGATAGAATACACTGCAGGCTTTAAAACAATCCAGGCCACCTTCACAAACCGGTATACACATGCTAGCATTATTCATATGACCAAGGTTGACTGAACAGGATTGGGAGTATACCATGGACACTTTACACATCATCGTCAAATGGAAAAGGTATTATATATTAATGTCATTATATTTATTGTACAGCATGCTAGTTATTTTTTCTTCAGTACTGGTAACTCACCTCTATATTTTTATAATAGATTCATCTTATTGCATTTAAAAAATGGATCAGGACAATCATCATTAGAATGAGTCTTCTTTTATCCCTCTTTTCTCCTTCACATGAGGTATATATTCCTTTTGATGTAAAAATAACAGCCTTTTTTCTGACAGATAATCACTTCCAACTCTTCCTTGTTGCTTTTATTTACTGGTCACCAGCAATATCTGGATTGAAAAAGAACGACCATTCCTCTATCTTCATGCATGAGTGAAAAAAGAACAATTCAATCCATCCTCTACATGTGGATCCAAACCAGTGGTTCTTACAAGGTGGTAGCGGTAGGGCTTTTCCCTAAGAGAGTCAGTTGGCCCACCCAGACTTTCTGAATCAGAATCTCTGGAAAATGGGTGTTTGGTGGGAAAAGCACCTAGTTTGGGACTCAAGCCCAGGCCAAGAAGACAACGTCAAGTCTGGAGGCTTCCCCAAATCTAGAAGCTGGGTATCACTTTAGGTTTCCTTTTGCATCAGGAAACTTGTCTGGAAAGATAAGCTGGTTGATCATGTTTTTTTGTCAAAAAGGGGTTATAAATCTTTCTGTCCTCTGGTCAGTTGGAGTATTTAAATTCCTTTTTCTCTCAATAGCTGTGTGAATTACACCTACCCCTTCACGGTAAAATGTGGCTCTTTGTTTCTTCCTCATTCCGTCCTGATGCCCCCAGATCATGCGGAATATCCTTTGTTAGTGTTTGAAACCCCCACCATGTGGAATATCCTTTGTTAGTGTTTGAAACCCCCGCCATCTTTGCATGAACTCTACTCAGTGTGCTCTTGCTTCAAATAAGGCCAGGTCTCCCAGTTCTTGGAGTCACCCCTGTGACAAAGTTTTAAAACGACTTTGTACTACCCTCTGCTCTCACCAACTGCTGGCCGAAGGCCCAGCCTGAAGCACAGAAATAGAAGTAGCTGTCCTCAATTAAAAAAAAAAAAATACTGTTTACATTACGAAAAAAATACATCTTTGAAATGAAGCTTAACCTTTCCTGGAAAGCACAGACTGAGCAAATAGGATTCATATGGTCCATCCAGGCACTGATCACAGAAATTAAGAATTACAGAATTAAGTCACAGTGAGCCTAGAGGCCCCAGAGGGAAGACACGATTTTGTAAGCATCGGTGCTGTTGCGATGTAGTATTAAAACAATGTGCCCACATGGGTGGCAGGGAAATTTACTATATTACAAAAGTGTAGTGGACTCTTATTTTAGATGGGGTGTTAAAATGGAGGGTCTTGATCATATGCCATCATTAAAGATCCCATGGTAAATGTACTTCTTGTAGAAGGAGGCGGGTTAGTCAAAAGCTCCTGGACAAATTCCAACTGCGTAATTACATCCTATCTAAATTCCCTATGTAGTTTCAACTGGATAAGGTATTTTTCACTTCTAATCCAAAATTCAGATATAGCTTTTCTCCACACTGCTAAACAGCTGCTGCATTTTTACCCCCAGTGGTATTTAGAATTGGACTCAGATGGGTTTTCCATCAATTCCAGGAATATTCATCTTTGCTTTCCAAGTTTAATAAGGGATCTTTTTGAATATTGGCTAATATTTACATTACTAAACTCTCACTAAATTGGGGTACATGGTAAATACAGAATTTTTGAACAGGAAGCGACCTCAGGGATCACCTACTCTTGCATCCTTCCTTCACGAGAGAAAATTGAATTGCTAATGAGTTAACATATATCCAGGGCCTAATGTGCATACTTGAGATATTTAATTAATGGGTGGCCCAAAGTCACACAAATGTATGATATCAGATCCATAACTCTTAACCCTGGTCTCTGGCCCAATTACCCAGGGCTCTTGTTCACTATGTTGTTGTGTTTTATATATGTCTATATCTATATAAATCTATATATCTAACAAAATGGATTTTCTTATTCCTGCCTAGGGAGGATGGGTAGGCAAACAGTACAAAAAGGTACCATACAGGTAGTACCAAAACTTGATTTTAGCAATTAAGGAAGATTACATATTTAGGAAACAGTGCTCAGGTCATATTTTATAAAGGGATGAACGGTGTGTCCCAATGAGAAAAACATTTGAATGATTTTGCTCAGAAAAATGCTAAAATTCTGGATGCACAAAATTCTACACAATAACAACTTACAAACTGCTTTCACCTTGTCAAATGGGGGAATTTTTTGGTAGGCGTACTTCCTATCTGTCCTGTTAGATTGTAAACACCATGACTGTAGACTATAAATATACATAGATATATGTACACATATTTTGTTTACTGAAGTATGTGCTGCTAAAGCACAGAGCCCGGTTTCAAGGAGGGGGCACGATCAATATCTGAGGTGAGATTATTTAGGGGTTTTCCAGCACTTTTACCTTTATTACTTCACTCCATTTCCACAGCCTAGCGGGGATAGGAGAACGCTTTCCACTTGTAGTTGAGCTCTGGCAATCCCTGGAGAACATTTGCTGGTGTTCTAGTGAAACAAAAGGACCGGCTCTGCCACCAAGATTGCTGGCAGGCTCGTAGAGAATAGCTCCACTCCAACCATCACTTCCTTTTTCTTCAACTCTTAGGCAGTGGCAGTAGAGGCCTAACCATGGAAACAACGCTCCCAGTTACCTTTTCTGTCCCCACAATGTATTGGCAGACCATGACTTATGGTCAAAGTTTCCACAAGTTCATTAGGATTTCAACAGGCCTGCCACATGATAGGAGCTCAAGAGATATTTATCGAGGAGTGAAGAAAAATAAAATAGCCAAATCTAAATGACAGACAGAGCATCTTATTAGGGAAGAGAACATGGCTGAGAGTCAGCTTCTGGTCCTGATTCTTGGTTTTCTATGAATTAACTGTATAACCATGTAATACCCATCCCCCCACCCCTGCCCCGAGCTGGGCTTCCTCATCTGCACAAGGAAGGAGTTGACTGAACAGCCACTTCTCAGCTCGAAAAGAATGGACAGGTTGGACTTTCAGATCCTTCTCCCCCTGCTAAACGGTGCTTAGTGATAAGCAATAAGCCAATCAAGGGGCTAAAAGTCAGGCAGCAGATGAGAAATCAAATGTCTATATCACCCCCAAAGTGGATAATCGGTCATTGAGTAATTTGAAATTGTTTTATTTCACTCCCCCAGGGAACAATTATATTTATTAGTCAAAAGACTACTTGTCTGAAAAGTTTTCTCCTTGGAAGATCTCACTTACAGAGGCAATGTTTTCCATTGGAACTTTTCTAAGTTTGAAAGGTGTCCTTTGGAAGAACATTTTTAATTGCAGTTTCCTAGAGATGGTTTGCTTTTTTTTTTCTTTTTGGAAATGTGAAATACCTCCAATACTTAGGCTATCAGAGAGTGACCATGGTCATTAGCAGTAAACTTGGGTAAGATGACCAGGTGGGCGTTTTGCAGTCCACATTTGGCTGAGAAGGTCTCCCATGGGCTTCGCTGAATTTGCTTCTTGTTCTCTAAATCAACCCAAGTATTGCCCCTGCTTTGTATGGGGACAGATGTTCAGTGATTGCAAGGTACAAGTTCATGACGTGTCCCACAGCTTGCTTTATCCCTGTGTATGGTCAGAAGTCTGGAGTTACAGTTTGGATTCCCCTTTCCATGATTTTCCATTATCCTATCACCCGATTTTGATCCTTTGGCAATGTTTAGTCACATTTCTGAATGTTCTTTATGAAGGTTGGGCGATGTTTTGTCACAATCATGCCAAAGCCTCTGAGCAGGAACATTAAGGCATTCCCACAATTTTGCCCTGCCAGCATTTTGAGGCGATTTTCCTTTTAATTACTGTCAAATTCAATTTTATACCTTTTCATTCTTTGTTTAAGGATGTACTTTTCTAGAGAATATAAAATATTAACTGATATTTACACTTTGCAAAAGCTTCCTATTAATCTTTCCCTGAAACAAATTTAACTGTAAGTTCAATGTTAATTTGAAGTTGATGGGATGACTTTTATATAAACAGAGAAAATGAATTTCCTGACAAGTAAACATGCTTTTTCAAACCTTCTGTTTGGTCCACCACGTGTACTGTAAGGGGTCACAGCAATTCAAGAGGCACATGCAAAGCCAATACCTTTGTTTGTGCAAGAAGGAAAAGCAAGTGGCTGCTCAATATCATTTATCAAAGTATGAAGAAAACATAAAAAATAGCAACAGAGACCCATCCTGTGGAAGGTCACAGCCAATAACATTTCTGCAAATAGAAGAGGATGCTTAAGCATCAGATGTAAATTGCTGTTTGCCGGAGAATTTTAATGGAGTCCTACGTCACATTATAAAATGTTTAATTGTAACCCCATTTTAATAACATCATCTGATTAAATGAAAAGACGCCTTGCTGATCGCAATTACAATCTGTCAAACTGCATATTTATTTACAGTTTGGTTTTCTAAAACCATAAGATAAAAAAAGAAAACTCTATTCAGCTTGTCAGGAAACTATAATTATTGTGTATCCTTCTGTCAGTTTCTGCATAAAACTTTTGGTCCTAAAATGGATCTAATTATATCTACATCAACATTTTTATAAACGCTACATTTTTTTTTCTCCATCTCAGTGAAATCTTTGTCGTTAACTAGGAAAAACACACTCTCTCTTTTTAAAAGGCATTAGCCAGGCTTGTTTGCTTTCTTTCCTTCAAGATGTTATAAAATAAAACATCCCTTTCAAAATATAAAAATATTTGCTTATGTCCCTTTCTCTCCTGGCATGAGATTATAAAAAAAAAAAAAAAAAAAAACCCACAGTTTTTGGCTGTTCTGGCAACACTGTTTGTGACTATCTTAGATATGAAATTCCTTCAGTCTGCAGCAATGAAAATCAAAGTCTCTTTCCATAATCATAGTCTGATGCTCAAGGCCTATAGATCCTTTACAGACACAAGTAGGAATAAGTGGCTGGAACCCATGAGGGAAGAGACTGGTCAACTGGAATATCTTTCTTCTGATTTCTCCTCAGACCACCTTGCATCTCAGACAACCCCACCCCCCCATGCCTTATAACTCCCCTGCCCACCTGCTTCCTAGGAACTAAATGGCTTCATTCCTGCTGGGTCGCCCACTTTGCCATGTATCCCATGGAAATGTCCCAAACACTGAATATACATCAAATCATACATATTTTACTTCCTGATCTCCTAGGGCCCCCTCAGGTGAAGGACTTGCTAATTTGGTCTATACATTTATGCTGAGGTGTTCGTGGGTGATAATGCTTAATAGTCTACCCATTCTAGAATTCATAATTATGGGCTTCAACTAAAATCTCATAAAAGAGGCAGTGAATTCATTCAAGGAGGGTCGGGAATGTGGTTTTTAGGCACAAAGGCACCACAGAGGACAGTTAAAGACAAGAGGTCAAATTGGACCCTCCTCATATTCTACTCCCCACTCCTGCTTCGAAGATATTCTCGAATAGACCACCGGACTACTTCAGGTTAGTACAATCAATAACAACTTGGCTTGCATGTGGACTTCTAGACAAAAAAATTACTTTAACCTAAGCAGCCTCCTCAAGGCATAGACAGTTCTACTTTATACAAAGCACTCTTTTTTATATAAAGTTGAAAATTGCCTACAGCATTTTTCTCTTTTTTCATCATTTTGTCCTCTAGAGTTTCTCATTAATGGGATGTCATTGGGTATCTTCCCTTTTTAAGAACTTGCAGGTTTGGAGATTGTCAACTTTCAGGGAACACACAAACACTGTAGCTTTGTGGTTTTCAACCATGGCTGCCTGTTACAATCACCTGGGGAGTTTTGAAACATGGTCCTCTGGGCACCTCACCCAATGCATTTTGCTTGCCGAGCACTTTGGCTTGACAGCACGGTTCTTCTTGCTCCTAAAATTGTGGACTCTACATGAGTAGCATAGGTCTCACCTCTACAACTCCACTCCAGATGTGCTGAATTAGAACCTACATTTGAACAAGCTCTCAATGATTTGCATACACATTAAAGTTTGAGAAGCACTGACTGTCTCTTATTCTCTTCTGGATCTCAAGTCTACAATGTCCATCAGGGAGCAGATCCTGTTTCTGGAAGGTAATATGGTAGGGGATGTGGGAGAACGTGACCCCCAGCCTCAGAGACCATTTTGGCATCATGTTAAATCGCCTTCATTGACCCACACATGGAGGCAGTAAAACCCACATTTGAATTAGGGCCCTTTTGGAGTTTCTGCAATGGTCTAGAAGTCCACATGCAAACCATATAAATGTAAAGATGTAGTTGACAAATGTTTTCCAAGTCTAAGCAGATGCTCCTCAGATTCAGAAAACACATGTGAATGTAGCAGCATTACCAAATCCTTCGGATGTTATATGGTTTTCTCATCAATGAATCTTGAAAAGTCAACTATTATAAGGTTGGAGGAACTTGATAAATTTTGGAAATTAAAATGTAAAAAGTTTGGGAACTACTAGGGTTAACATTTTAAGGGCAATCTGTCAAAGAGGGGGTATACTGGACCTTGTGTGAACAGAAATGATATGAGATTTCAATGTCCAACTGGCTCTCTATGCAATGGATACTTTCCCATATCTAATAGATTGCCCACATTTTGCTGGAAGATGTGACAATATGAATTAGATTACTTGGGAACTTAT